CGGTTACGATGCCTAGAGTACGGAGACCTGTACGATTTCGTCAACTTAGTGAGTTTGATAGGGGCCGTATAGTGGGACTTCGGGAAGCTGGACTTTCTTTTCGGGCAATTGCAGTTAGAGTGCAAAGAAGTGTAGACACTGTGGTTAGGTGTTGTCAGGCATGGCTTCGAGAAGGCCGTACGCAAAGAGCAAGCGGCACTGGACGCCGCTGTAGAACAAAAGACCGTGAAGATCGCCGCCTGAGATTATTGGCCTTAAGGGACCGTTTCTCCACTACCAGGTCCATTGCAAATGAATGGTTTGCAGAACACGGAAGACCTATTGGCATGCGAAGTGTTTGCCGACGAATGAGAAGTTTTGGCTTGTTTTCATACCGGCCACACTGGGTCCTCCCTTTAACTCGAGAACACCGACGTAATCGCCTTGAGTGGTGCAGACAACGGTCACTCTGGGATCAGGAATGGAACAGTATTGTCTTTAGTGACGAGTCTCGATTTTGTTTAGGCATGTACGATGGTCGTGCCAGGGTTAGAAGGCGACGTGGTGAAAGGAGGAATCCACAGTTTTTTGCTGAAAGACATGTTCATCACACTGTTGGAGTTATGGTTTGGGGTGCTATAGCTTATGGTCCAGCTCACCTTTAATCTTCATCAGAGGTAACATGAACGCGAAGCGTTATATCCACGAAGTTCTAGAACCCCATCGTTTACCCTATCTTGACACCCTGGCAGATCCAACTTTCCAACAAGATAATGCCCGACCACATGTTGCAAGAGTCACAATAGACTTCTTTCAACATAATGATGTCACGTTGTTACCATGGCCACCAAGATCTCCCGACTTATCCCCAATTGAGCACGTGTGGGATATGATTTGTAGGAGATTGCTCAATTTGCAACGTCCTCCTCAGACTCTAGAAGCACTTCGAGAGGAGTTGGTGGTTGCCTGGAATGAGATACCACAGGAGGACATTGACCACCTTATCAGAAGCATGCCTAGGCGCGTTGGAGAATGCGTAGCGCATCAGGGTGCACCCATACATTATTAAAGGTCAAAGGGCTTTAAAGCAGTGCAATTATTTTGAAATTTTTATCATTTACTTATTATGCTTCATTAAGTACTTATACAAAATTTTATTAAAATAAAACCATTTAAACTGGGTGTTCGGATTTATATGCCACTTAGTATATATATATATATCTGTACTCCAGAGCCAGACTAGGTTAAGTCCATTTTTGTCAAAAATGAGTTTAATATGTTAAGCTTGTGATAATAACGTGAATTTTAATCTGCTCCATGCAGCATCCATTTATCTGTAATAATAAGAAATTTACGACTTTTTAACTCATATCAAGTCGTATTCAATACAATGCAAGAAAAATATTTCAAATACAATTATCACAAAACTACTTATTTGGACTTAACGTAGTCTGTCTCTGTTGTACAGATATATATATGAATTGTGCTTACCTGTTTTTGAAAATAATGAAAAATTCAAGCAGAATGGTGATATGCATAATTATGATAGAAGGACTTTTAATAATTTATATGTAAACTTCAGCAAATCAAAAGCGGCATTTCGATCACCTAATAAAATTGGTCCGCTTCTTTTTAATAATTTGCCACATTACCTCGGTTAAAAATATTAACGACTTCAAGTTCCAGTTGAAGCAATTTTTGATAAACAAGTGCTTTTATCGTGTTGATGAATTTTTGAACATTGCAATTTGAGATTAGTTGTAGGTTTGTAGCGAACGAAAAATTGACAGTTCCAATACAATTATATATTGTCTGTATGGAAATAAAGGTTATTGATTGATTGACTGTTTTTAAATAAATACACATATTTTTCTGAATTTTCTGATCATTAAATGTACCACCCGTTCCGCCTAACCTTTAATTTGTATTATCCCGTCTGTGATGGTTCTCTGAATATTTCGTCAAGTAGCTTGACTCAAGACTTATGACGCATTGATATACAACACCGGACTTGTGTGATGCAGTTATACTTAAGCAACAAAAAACTTGTGAAGTCCGAATATTATCTCGGGCTAATATACTCAGTGACATTAGAAGTGCTCCACCCAGAAAAAATAATTTATTCTACTTATTTTTTTGGTAACATAATGGCTATATTTGAAGCATGCTTGGGAACAATCTTTGTTCAGAAAGACAACGCACGTTCCCATATTGACCGTCGTACTACGGACTTTCTTCAAGAAGCAGGCGTTAATGTTTTGCCTTGGCCATCCCGTTCACCGGATTTAAATCCCATCGAACATGTGTGGGATGTGATGGGAAGGAGACTATCCACTTTGCACCATCCGCCACAGACTCTGTCACAGCTAGTCCGCGATGTTCGAGTTTTTTGGAATGAGGTGCCACAACCAGACATCGATCATCATCATTTTGTCGATGCCTAGACATACAGGAGTGTATTCAGCTACGGGGTCGCCCAACAACTTATTAAGTTTTTTCTTATTACTTGTCGATACAACTTCGTGAGAATGTTATCGTTTCATTACACTGGTCAACACTGGTTTTGCCACACGAACTTTGACAGCTAATTTTGTTTTAACAGTCTACCCTCATTATTACATGACAGCTGTCATATGTCTATTAGCCTCATATTTGTTGTGATACGGTAATACTCATAACTAGTACTACGGCAGTAAATTAACAGAAACGCTTACAAGTAAATCCTTATAAAAATATTTGTTGTTGAATTTGGACACTTTTTTGTGATTTATTAACCCTGTGAATATGTCGAGGAAGTGTAATAATGATCCTAACTCTTTTTGTTATGTCTGCGGAGAACTAACATTCAAAAAACAACGACGAAATTTTACGAATCTTGTGTTGGAGTGTTATCACCAATGTTTTGGTTTTTCTGTCGCCCATCAAGACAAATCCTGGGCCCCTCATGTCTGTTGCATAATCTGTGTGAAAAATTTAACTGACTGGAAGAAAGGTGCACGACCTATGCCGTTTGCTGTACCCATGATATAGACTGAACAGCGAGATCACGTTTCAGATTGCTATTTTTGTCTCACAGACATGAAAGGTATAAATTACAAGAAAAAAACCACAGTTATTTACCCTAACTTATCTTCGGCTATAAGACCAGTCTCTCATTGTAAAAAATTGCCAGAACTAATACCAGTTGCAGCTACGTCTGTTGAGAACAATTCACAACCGTCCACTTCAGGTGAATGTGTTGACGAGGACGATGACTTTGAGTTAAAAGGAATTGTAAACGAGCCACATTTGATAACTCAAGGAGACCTAAATGATTTGGTTCGGGATTTAAATTTGTCAAAAAAGCAGTCAGAACTACTAGGATCACGTCTAAAAGAATGGAATTTGCTACATCATAATACAAAAGTTAGCTATTTTCGAAACCGTGATCAACACTTACGTATTTTTCTCAGGATGGAGATTTGGTGTTTTGCAATAACATAAATGAGATTATGGAAATGTTGGACATAGATTTTGATCTCTCTCAGTGGCGTTTATTGATTGATTCTTCGAAAGCAAGTCTAAAAGCAGTGTTATTGCATAATGGAAATAAGCTTCCGTCTGTACCTTTGGCCCATGCTGCAAATATGAAAGAAACCTGTGAAAATATGAAACTTTTACTTGAAAAAATAAATTACAGTACATATTCCTTCAAAATCTGCGGTGATCTTAAAGTTGTTGCACTATTACTTGGACTTCAGCTGGGTTATACAAAGTTTTGCTGCTTTTTATGTGAATGGGATAGCCGAGACAGAACTAATCACTATATAAAAAAAACATGGCCTACGCGTGCATCGTTAGTTCCTGGGCAAAAAAACGTAAAGTATTTACCCCTTGTACAGCCGAATAATGTGCTTCTACCACCATTGCATATCAAATTAGGAGTAATAAAAATTTTTGTGAAGGCAATGGATCGCAATGGGAGTGGATTTTTGTATCTAAAAGAAAAATTCCCTAAAATAAGTGATGCAAAGATAAAAGAGGGTATTTTTGTTGGCCCTCAAATTAGGGAGTTAATAAAAGATTCAAAATTTGAAGAAAAATTAAGCGATTTAGAAACATCTGCATGGAAGGCTTTTAAAAATGTTGTTTCAAATTTTTTGGGTAACCACAAGAGTAACAGCTACAGAGAGTTGGTTAGCGAGCTATTATTGTCATATCAAGCATTGGGTTGCAACATGTCACTTAAGATCCATTTTTTAGACTCGCACCTGGCTTTTTTTCCTGACAATTTAGGGGCTGTCAGCGACGAGCACGGTGAGAGGTTCCATCAGGACATTTCTAATATGGAAAAGCGGTACCAGGGCAAATGGAGCCCAAATATGTTAGCAAATTACTGCTGGACAATTAAAAGGGACCAACCAGAAGCTAAATATTCAAGAAAATCTTAGATTATTAAGTCATTTATAAAAAAAATAACTTTTGATTTACGAGATGTGTTTTTTATTAATATTTTAAATTACTCAATAGAATAAAATCCTTGCCTAGCAAATTTTTTTTAACTGTTTATTTTTTCTTACAATCACCAATTAAAGTGAAAAATATCAAAAAAGTCCGTGTGGCACGACAAAGTTAAAATTTTGTTGACCAGTGTTATTGATGTAAGAGTGCCTCACTGCCAAAAAATCAAGCTGAATAAATTATTTCTTCTTCTATTGTCACTGAGTAAATTGTAGTTTGAAATCTGTATGCGGTAAGTGGTTGTAAATTGTTGCATATTTGGTGTCAGTGAAAGACCTTCTATTATTAAAAATCTGCTGGTGTCGGTGATACTATGCGACTGTTAGACATAATAAGTTAGACATATTTTCCCGGCTTCTGCCATGGAAGCAGAAATATGATAGATTTGCTTTGTATAGTTTGATATGCAGAGATCGAAGACTCATCGCTCCTAAGTGAATCTACCTAATCACGATTCGATTTCTCCTTTTAAAACGACGATGCTATTTATTAAAAGAATCTAATAAAAATGTTTTGTTTAGGAAAATTGAACTCATCACATCTTTTGGAGGTGACTCAGATTCAGAAAATGAAGAACCCGTTTCCAAGAAAAACAAAGTAAGTTAAATGTTTGCCATCCGTGAGTTTTTCTATTGCTAGATCAAAAATAAATAGTCAAAATATTTTAGGAAAAAAGACCAAATTTGTATAGTATACAGGGTTTGTCCGGAAAGTAATAGGACTGAGTCGATTTAAAAAAATTTAATGAGCCAATCGTTACAATTATTTGAAAACTTTCAAAATAGGCTCCTGTCGTTTCAAAATTCCTTTTCAGGCGAGGAAACAAAAAAACTCCGCGGGGGCCACATCTGGGCTGTAGGGCGGCTGCGGAAGCGTTGGGATGCCGGCCTATTTTGATGCGAAAAACGAAGGGTTACGTTTATTTTTTCTAAACAAATTCAAACATTTCGTATGTGTAGGTAATTGAACAGATTCGCTACGACATTAAAAAACAAAGCGGATGTGTCTATCACTTTTTGTTGCGAAGGGAAACATTTTTTTTTCAAAATTCCCTCATATTCTAAAGCTGAAATTTTCACACGATCATAGATGAGCCTTAAAGTTTATGTATCATGTTCTAAGTAGCTGCATTATTGATGACTGCATGACTTTGTCAAATAAGTAGGTCACGTAATCAAGTTTCTTTGCGAAGAAATATAATTCTCTGGACGTTTTTTAAGTATTATTTTTTTTTTTTTTGGTGAGGGGGGAATGCATTTACGCACCATACCATAGCCCGAGCTACGACGTGTGTGGGACTCCAGGGTCTTGAGGAGATCACCTAATACCCACTAAACCCTAAACCTCCGCGTGGCCCGACTCATCAGCGTCTCGGTAGGCCATGTGTTGTGCGTGACCTGCGGTCTGCTACAACGTCTCCTCATGTGTTTCAGTCTCTGGGAACGCCGGGTTGGTTCCCTTTACCTCGCACATTCTATCGATGTCGTTAAGCGATCATCGATAGAGGGTCTGCTAGTTTCTCTTGAAACGCTTGTTTTCGAAAAATCAAGAGTTTCAAGTCCTCTTACCAATATGTTGTTCCTGGTCCTGGTCCTGAAGGGTCCTGGTCCTGGTGGGTCCTGGTCGTGGCGGGTTCTGGTCCTGGTTGGTCCTGGTCCCGGTGGTTCCTGGTCCTCTGCATCCACGCCGTGGGGGGGGGGAGCAACCGCGAGTTCTCCTAGTCTCCTAGTCAAGGTTCCAGTTAGCGGGTGCCAACTGGGACCTTGGTCTGGGGTACCTGGTTCTGCGGTTGCGAGGCCTCTCGTCCGGATCGTAGTCCATGAGGAATCGTAGCTGCTCGTTAGGGTGGTCCTGAGCTTTCACGAAGGTCTTCTCCGCTTTTTCCTCATGTACTCGTGGATGGTGTCCCAATGCAGGTCTCTACGCAAGGTTGAGTTTCTTACGTAGGATGGTGCACTGGTGGCAATCCGGAGTAGCTTCATCTCTAGAGCAGCAAGTCGCTTGCGGTAGCTGGGGGCAGCGTACCCCCAGACCGCGGAGGCGTAAGCGAGCTGAGGTCTGGCGATGGCCTTGATCAGCCGTAGCTTGGTCGCTAGCGGCATCCGGCTGTGTCTACCCAGTAATGGGTAGAGTTGAGCCATGGCTGCTCTGGTCTTTGCGATGACAGCTTCTATGTGGGCTTTCCAGGTGAGGGACTTGTCAAATACGATCCCCAGATATTTGACTTTGTCGCTCCACTGGATATCTTCGTCGAAGATGGATGCTTCGAGAGGTCTTGCAATCCTTCGTTGAATGAAGATTGCCTGCGTCTTCTGGACGTTGATGCGGATTTTCCATTTCACGCACCAGTCCTGGATGTGGTCCAGTTCATCCTGTAGTCTCCTACGGATGATCTCGGGTCGTCTATGCTTGGCGGCTATAGCAGTGTCGTCTGCATATAGGGCCAGCATTGTGTCAGCTGTCTTCGGCACATCGTGAGTATAGATGTTGTAGAGCAGGGGGGCTAAGGCTGACCCCTGGGGCACGCCTGCTTCCAGCTGTCGTCTTGTTGAATGGCATGTACCAATCTTCACCGTGAGCCATCTTTGTGTTAGATAGCTCTGGATCAGTTGGCACATGTTCGCATCGATTCCGGCGGCTTCCATTTTGGCGATGAGTCCATCGTGCCAAACTCGGTCGAAGGCTCGTTCCACGTCCAGCAGGACGAGACCGGTTGCCTCCTGGAGATTGAAGCCGCTGGTGATGTTTTCCAAATTTTAGAAAATAAACTCGAGAAAACGAAAAAACTGTAGACAAATATCAACCAAGCGAATTGGCCGTCTGGAAAATTAGGCAAAGTGCTCGGTATTAGTCCCAAATATACTAAGTGACTTATAAATCCGAACACCCAGTTTAAATGGGTTTATTTTAATAAAATTTTGTATAAGTACTTAATGAAGCATAATAAGGAAATGATAAAAATTTCGAAATTCAAGCCCTTTGACCTTTAATAATGTGTGGATGCACCCTGATGTGCTACGCATTCTCCAACGCGCCTAGGCATGCTTCTGATCAGGTGGTCAATGTCCTCCTGTGGTATCTCATTCCAGACAACCACCAACTCCTCTCGAAGTGCTTCTAGAGTCTGAGGAGGACGTTGCAAATTGAGCAATCTCCTACCCATCATATCCCACACGTGCTCAATTGGGGAGAAGTCGGGAGATCTTGGTGACCATGGTAACAATGTGACATCATTATGTTGAAAGAAGTCTATTGTGACTCTTGCAACATGTGGTCGGGCATTATCTTGTTGGAAAGTTGGATCTGCCAGGGTGTCAAGATAGGGTAAAAGATGGGGTTCTAGAACTTCGTGGATATAACGTTGCACGTTCATGTTACCTCTGATGAAGATTAAAGGTGACCTGGAACCATAAGCTATAGCACCCCAAACCATAACTCCAACAGTGTGATGAACATGTCTTTCAACAAAAAACTGTGGATTCCTACTTCACCACGTCGCCTTCTAACCCTGGCACGACCATCGTGCATGCCTAAACAAAATCGAGACTCGTCACTAAAGACAATATTGTTCCATTCCTGATCGCAGAGTGACCGTTGTCTGCACCACTCAAGGCGATTACGTCGGTGTTCTCGAGTTAAAGGGAGGACGCAGTGTGGCCGGTATGAAAACAAGCCAAAACTTCTCATTCGTCGGTAAACACTTCGCATGCAAATAGGTCTTCCGTGTTCTGCAAACCATTCATTTGCAATGGACCTGGTAGTGGAGAAACGGTTCCTTAAGGCCAATAATCTTAGGCGGCGATCTTCACGGTCTGTTGTTCTACGGCGGCGTCCAGTGCCCCTTGCTCTTTGCGTACGGCCTTCTCGAAGCCATGCCTGACAACACCTAACCACAGTGTCTACACTTCTTTGCACTCTAACTGCAATTTCCTGAAAAGAAAGTCCAGCTTCCCGGAGTCCCACTATACGGCCCCTATCAAACTCACTAAGTTGACGAAATCGTACAGGTCAAGAACCAAAATCCGCCAACGTTGATTCTTTACTGCGGCTGAAATATTCATTTTTAGAGCGTTAGTGAATTGAAAAAAAGCAGTATAAAAACCGGAATGTCCAACTGATAAGGCTGAAAATTTTTTCACTTGTTATTTACAGTAAGATAAAAACATTCACCAACTTTTATTAAAATAAAACCATTTAAACTGGGTGTTCGGATTTATATGTCACTTAGTATACATTACCCATTGTATCTTGTATGGTTTTCAAGAGTATTCCATTTGTTTATAACAGAATTGATATGCCTCTAACGTTCGCTTGACATTTGTCAGTGTCAAGTATAGTGGTATATAGATCCAGTAAACCAAGAGGCGTCTCATCCTGATGACATTCGCAGAGCGACGAATCTTGTTCACGAACTAAGAAATGCTCTCCATGAATTCCGCAATGAGCAATGGAACGACTTTCTGGCGGGGATGCTTGTCTCAAGTACTCCTCTCTGGAAAGTGGCGAAGTCGCTCTGAAACGGAAAGCGAGAACAACTCCCGCACATCCACGGTCCTGGGGCATAGTCTTCAGGACCGAGGACAAGGTCGAGGTTTTCGCTGGTGTTATGGAATGACAGTTCTCTCCCAACTATGATCTTGATAATGATCTCGACGAGGAGCAACAAATTGAAAGATCCGTCAGGAGGTATTCTAGGGCCAACGGCGTCAGTAATCCCGGCGCCGCCATTAGTGATTCTTCCTCAAGAGATTCTTTTTCGGAAGATTCTTCAGCTGAAGAGTTGCACAGTACATCAGCGGCTTCTCCCGAGATCCCGCATTGCACACCAGCAGAGCTTCAAGGTCATATTGAAGACCTTGACTTATCGCGTGGAAGACTGCGGAAGTTATGATGATTCCAAAGAAAGTGGGTTAGATATTTCGTCACATTGCGAATTTCTCGTCAGATCACCATGTGATTCCTGAAGTGCAATTTGGATTTCGGTCTGATCATAGTACGGAGTTACAGGCGGTTAGGCTTGTGGAGCGAGTAACCGGGGACTTCCCCTTAACGAAAGTACTGGCATCTTGCTTCCGGATGTCTCGAAGGCATTTGATAAGGTGTGGCACAAGGGCCTATTCTATAAACTAATTCAAAAGGGCTTACCATTTTGGCTCCTAAAACTTTTGAAATCCTTCCTTGAAGGTAGTAAATTTCGGATCAAAATTAATAATCTTTTGTCGACAGTACGGCCCATCAGAGCCGGCGTCCCTCAGGGTTAGGTTCTAGGGCCAATCCTTTACTCACTTTTCACGCATGATGTCCCTTGCCCTAGCGACTGTGAAGTATATCTATATGCTGATGACACTGCACTGGTGGCTCAGTCGCTTACCGGGAATCTGGTTCACGACAGGTTACAAAGTGCGGTGGATGAGGTATTAATTACTGGAAAACGCAGGCTACCTATTGTACATAAAAATGTAGCGGCGCCCCGCCTGAGGTTTCAGTGAACTGCTAAGTATCTCGGTGTCACTCTTAACAGGGGGATGACCTGGCAGAATCACACTGAAGCGTTAAAAACTAAATTCCAAATTACGTTTCGGCAACTTACCCTTTAC